GTGACCAGAATTGGGGTTTCTGAAGGAAAAGGAGGACACTTTTTTTTTTCCTGGGGGTTATGAAGTGTCGATTGCTTGGCCACTGACTGGACCAGACCTCAGTAGAGAGACATGAGCTGCCCGTCCTCAGCTGCAGGAGGGGGGCTAGAGGGAGGCGGCAGGCGGGGGAGAAGCACGGGGGCGCCGGTGTCCAGGCAACCGTCACCTGGTGTTTTTACAACTACGTGCTGCACGTAGTCGGCCAAAATCCCAGACGATTTAGGAATTCCCTCTTGACATTTTTTTAGGTCTGAAAAGTAGGACATGTCAGGGAAAAGGAGGACGTCTGTTCACCCTATTTAGCCCTGTCCATCTTACCATCAACTGTGACCAGCTTCTCAGGCTGTGTCAAACAAAGCAAACAAAACAAATTCTCAGAATTCTGACTTTCATCTCAGAATTTTGACTGAATTCTGACAATAAAAAAAGTCAGAATTCTGATAAAAAAGTCAGAATTCTGAGAAAAAAAGTCAGAATTCTGAGATTAAAGTCAGAATTCTGAGATTAAAGTCAGAATTCTGACTTTTTTCCCACACTATACTGAAATTAAATTAAAAAAAAATCAGTTAACTTTTTTTTTTCAGTGGCCCTAATCCTCGTCCGTACTTTATAGTATAAAGCTTATAATCTAAAGAAAAATTCAACTGCAATACAGATAAACATGGTGCGATCGTCGTATTTCCCGGACTGCTCTGTGTATGTCCAGTGATGAGGTCAGAGAAGCACTATAACAGAGAGAATGTACATTTTTAGGGTTTCTTTCAGCAGTCATTATTATTATTTTATACAAAGTACTTTCCTATATTGTAATAATTTAGGGATATTAATAAGTACTTTCGGTTCAGTGATGAAATTATTTCATGGCAACCTGCGTGAATTTGTGATTCCACATGTCTAACGAAGCTGATGGTTTAGGGTCGACCTTTTCTGGAGCGCCTATGCTGAGGAGCTACAAGGCTTCAAAAAGTCCATCCAGGACATGTTCATGTACTGTAGGTTCTGTCACTGGTTCCGCTCAAACAGCTTCTCTGCCAGTCATTTAGTCAGTTTAAATTACTTGTATCAAAGAAATCTATGTATGCAAACCACAGTTTTATATGTAAAGAAAAAGGGAAAAAAAATTGAAAACCATCTGCATCTTTTTTCACTCTGAGGGAAAAATGTTAATTTATTTATTTTTTTTTTAGCAAAGCTGTATTGATTCACTGTTAAGCTGTATGGAAAAAATGCAGAAAAGTTTGATACTTCTTCAAGCCACTGGATCGAAGGACAGCGCTGACCTAACCACACAGGGTCATTAATAAAGGGTCACAAAACTCCCCCCATTTTTCTCTCCTCAGGTTCGACACATCCTCTGTGAAAAGCATGGAAAATGCATGGAGGCCATGGAGAAACTCAAAGCTGGAGTTCGATTCAGTGAAGTAGCGTCGCAATACAGCGAAGACAAAGCTAGACAGGGAGTAAGTAGGACTGTTTTTTTTTTTTCTAGCTGTGTATTTATTTCTAAAATAAGCTTTTCCAGTAAGTGCTATGCAAACAGCCTTCCTGTAGTTAAGAGTGACTTATTTTCCATCTCATCTGTGCTTGACTGAATTCACAGTGGAGTAAATGAACTGGAACATCACATATTGCAACACAAGAAAAAATACTCTCAAGTTGAGATGTTGTAAATATGATTAATAGGAGGCTTTATGCAGAGCTGGTCTGAGTGATCAAACCGCTGACGGAGTTTTGTTTGTCATCAGTTCACACCTGCATCAGAGACCAAAACTTGTGCGCAGGTTTACTCAGAAAATCAAAGAAAGCATCAATGGAAATTATAAGTGTTAAAAATCAGTGTCTGGTTTTGCGTCATGTTTTTCTTTTTAAATTTCTAATAAGAATTTGTTTCTTCCATGACAGGGTGATCTGGGGTGGATGACCCGTGGGTCCATGGTTGGACCTTTCCAGGAGGCGGCGTTTGCTCTGCCTATCAGTTCGATGGATAAACCCGTCTACACAGATCCACCCGTCAAGACGAAGTTCGGATATCACATTATTATGGTGGAGGGGAAAAAGTAAAACTGGCCACTTCTTTTATTTCTTCTATATACCATTAAACTGGGCGGGAATGTTAAGAGAAAAAAGATCTTGTGTGGGATTGTTTCCTGTTAGTCTGTTCAAGTTTGCACTTCTACCCAAGCTCTTTTTTTTTCTCAAAATAATGAATTTTTTTATTTTACTTTGTCAAAATCTCTTCAATAACATGAAATAAAGAAATGAATAAAATGCATTAAATTGTGCAAAGTCTGGTACTGTTTTTTTGTGTGAAAAGTGCAAGAAAAACAGAAAATATAAATGGCTGTTATACAGAAATACAGAAAAGTTAATTTCAAAATTGCATCTCATTAACCCTTTAAAGCCCGATCCAAGAATAAAAAAAAACCCAGAAAATAACTTTTTTTTTTGGTCTGAATTCCTTATTTGGCCTTTTAACAAAATATGTAAAAAGAAAAAACAGAAATACATTTTTGATATTAATAATTTATTACTATGCGATAATTCAAGTTATTTTTTGTGTAGTCTTCTGCTGGCTGTTATCAGGTATATCTGATTGTGTACAATAGCATTTTGAGCAAAGTTTTTACCATTAAATTATGCAAAAGGTGTCAGATGCAAAACATTTCAGAAACCGTATGTATCAAATACGATACGTTTGGCATTATAGGGTTAAGTTAAAACATTGTCAAAAAATGTATTTATGTAAAGTAGAAAAGTCTTATTCCATGGGGGAACATTCAGATGCGTCAGTTGCAAACAGCGATGTTAATGGAAGCAAACAGGTTCACACATCACTGAGAAAATATCAATGATTCAATTTTCAATTTATCTTTATTGTCACAAGAACAACAAAATTTTAAAAAAGTGCCATCGATCGATCAGTGCATATGCGTTAAAACAAAAATCACTGTCACCACCATTTACACATAAAATAAGAAATAAATAACAATAACTGATAAAAACACTAATAAGAATAGCACATTCTCACACATATCATCCATGATGATTAATGGTTATTTTTGGTTGCATTTAGTTTTGTTATTGCTGTCGGGTAAAAACTGTCTCTAAGGCAAAGAGATTTAGCTTTTTATAAGTTAGAATATGAAGTTTAAAATTTCATGATTATTGAAACTCAGGTGCTGCATGGTGGTGCAGTGGGTAGCACTGTTGCTTGGTAGCAAGACGGTTTTGGGTGTCATTCCCAGTCCGGGGTCTTTCTGCATGGATTTTGCATGTTCTCCCCTTCCATGTGTGGATCTCTCTCTGGGTACTCCGGCTTCCTCGCACAGTCCAAAAACATTATTGTTAGGTTATGCTGGTGAAGATTCGTAGTCATCCAGGTCATAGTCATTCCAAAAAAGTTAAAAAACAAACTACTAGAATTTGTTTCCAGGTTTGACAAGTTGCTTCCAACTTTTTGAATTGAAAAAGCTTCCTGGATGAGAAGCGAAATGTCTTCAAACTTGGAAACAAAGTCCAGTGGATTTTTTTTTTTTTTACTTTTTTGGAATAATGGTTAGGTTAATTGGCTTCTCTAAGTTGTTCTTAGGTGTGAATCTATGTGTGCATGGTTGTGTGTCTCTGTGTTGCTGTCCACGGTGTACTCCTCCTCTCATCCATTGACTTCTGGAGACAGGTACCGGCCCCACCGCCACTCTAAGTGGGAGAAGATGGATGGATGAAAAAGTCAGTCCTGTAAAATAATTTCATTTGATGTGGATTCCCAAATCAGTGCAGTCTGTGGCATGACCTGAGTCTGTTGCACTGCTGAGCAATTAAAGTAATAGGAGCCTTCAGCTTTTATGCATTATTGTTTACAGTTTCTCAATGATCCTCTATAGAGTTGGACTGTTTGCTGTTCAATCCAGCAAAGAGAAACAATTTTTAAAGCTGATATTTGTACCAAGTCAGACTTGTGGTTTCAAGAAACCCTCTTAAATTAATTCTGGATTTAAAAAAAAGGGATTTGTGCCTCTCAAATCCTCATTCAAACATCGGGCCTCTGATTTTGAAATGTGTTGATGGTTTGAGACCTAGACTTATTATTCTATAGGCAAAAACAACCTTTTCTTTATTCATGTTTTTTTTTTATTGTGGGTGTGAGCCCCTGAAAAAACCTACTAACCAGTTATTGGCGGTTATATACTTGTTTATCAATGTATTAAATTGGTTAACTGATAAATTATCACAATATTTTTCTGTTTTAATATAAACCTTTGGTGAATTCTAAATCCCAATCAAATATATAAATATATATATATATAATGAAGAAGTTTGTGTATGAGCTATATTGAAACTGACTGAAATCTTAAAAGCCTGGGTTCACAGGCAAGTCTTCTTATTGAGTAATTAGAACCTGCACACTTTGACCACGATGACTCATCAAATTATATATAATTGCTGAAAACAATCTAGCTGCTATCATTCAAGAATGACAAAAAAAAGTAAGAATGAAACTATGGATCAGAATCTTTTTATTTTTCCTTCTGAAATTGGAAACAAAAATTGTACAAAATAGCTCAATGTCCAAAAATTGAACTATTGCCTTTCTAAACTTTTAGAAATTTTGTTTTTAAGTAGTATAATTAATTAATAGGATGTCATAATAATAAAAATAAAACACACAATTTGGTTAAAAACAGTGTCAGTGATTAGTGTATAGTTTTGAGCCAGTGTAAACTAGATAAAGCTCAGAATGTACCTAGAAAAAGAAAAGTCTAACTAATGAGCAGTTTACCATCATCATCATCATCATCATAAAAAAAAAGCTTGGAATGTAGACTTTAATAAGACACAACTTTTATAATATCAGATCAGGCGGGATGTTGTAATACACATTCCACAGCGCTAGGTGGCAGAAGCGTTCGAAGCGCGCGGCAGTGCAGCCAGCAGCAGCAGGAAAAGACGGTTGACGTTCTTACGCCTGGCTGGGTGATTGGCGAGGTAAGATGGCGGCGCCAGAGGAGCCAGAATTATCCCAGGCGCAGACCGAAAAACTCCTTCAATTTCAGGTATACTGTCAAAAATCCTCATTAACATGCTTCCATTTAAAATCCCATATGCTGATGTGCTTCCACAGATAGCTGATCGCGGTGAACAGGTCGTCATATTGAATGAAAAGCCTTTTTTTTCACACACTCAACTTCGATTACGATCCCCCAACGGCAACTGGAGGCAGGGCTACCAAAAGGAGCTAAGCTAACCAACAAGTTAGCAGACTTTGTGGGACGTGGCTGGGCTAAAATAGCCTTATATGAATGAAATAGCGTTTTAGACGCGTACTCTATCGACCTCTATTAGTCAAAAACATCAGTCTTTCGGCCGTTGGCTTCGTTAATCTTGGATTGTGTCTCCAGTTAACGTTGGCTGCTTAACATTTGCTAAGTCAACATTAGCACAGCTGTCATCCTCTGACTGTCACAGAAGTTTCAGGACTTCTCAGTGTTTCTCAATTGTTTATTTAACATTTTAGGAAGCGACAGTGAGACGTGTTGATCCAGTGTTACCTTGTTAGTTTGATGTGTTTTTAGCTGGCGGTTATTGTTCTATCTATGTTTTAAAAAATACATTTAATCCTGTTCTACTCCAGATAATTACATTTTTTCTAACCTGTTGTGTAAGTTAACCACATGCTTTCATCTTGGTTGGACAAATGTTGGAGCTGATTTTAGGTTGATTTTTATTTTTGCTGCCTAGATTACTTAAAAAAAAAATGTTTGCAATCTTTCTGACTAGTGTATTAAAATCCAGGGTTTTCTTACCTTATTTATGTAAGGCCAATTCAGGAAATCTCCCTTTACTGAAAAGGATCAAACACTTTTGCATGTCCCAAAATATATTATCAGATCAAACCGACATAAAATACAACCTTAGCTTAAGTTAAATTGGTTATCTTTTTTTTTTTACATGTACCAAATATGGTTGGGGCGATACAACAATTTTAATCTTAATATTGAGCCCATGTGAATTTAAAAAAGCAATTGGTTAAAGCCGTAAATCATATCTGAAATGAAAAACTACATGGACTTAACTTAATCTACTTCTGCAACAAAATCAGATTATATTAGTTAAATAATTGTGTAAATAAATAACCACACTATAACATAATTTGACAGGATTTATAGATTGTTGGAGGCAGTATTCTTTTATTACACAGATATTCCAGAAATCTATAATTAACAAAAGCATAAATATGCAAACAAAACTTGCCTTTAGTATTGATTCCAATGCTATATAGTATTATACCTGGATACATCTTTTGAGTATCATCACTTGGTAGAGTATTGGTACTTTGATAACCCCAGTGTTGCATATATTTATATTTTTAAGTTTTGTCTTGCTGGCTAAATTAAGCTATCTGATTTTTTTTATAGTGATTTATTTTGTTTTTATGACTTATATTCTCAAAATATTTGTATTGATTGATTTTTTTTTTTTAATGGTAAAGTTATCTTACATTATGAGTATTGACTGAATGTCAACACTGATTTTTGGCATTTTTAGGAGTACAGTGTATATTATATATATCTCAATATGTTTTTCTTTTATAAAGTCATTATAAAAGGCATCTCTGAGACATTTTTGACCAACAGCTCATAGAAAAACATGAGAAATGGCTGAGAAATAGTCTGTTGGCATGTATAAATGTATAATTCTAACTTAAACCATCTCGGTATCAACAATACCTTCTCATCATACCTCTTTTTAAAACATCTCGATAGATTTAAAGTCTCGATGGATCGCCCAGCATTAGTCAGCTCTTTGATAAAAACCTTTAATGGATACCAAGATCTCTAAAAACTTGAAATATTAGCTAACCATAATTACCATAATTGCATATGAATAAGTCATTTAAAATCATAAATATATTGCTTAACTGAAGACATTAATATTGCATGAAATCGTTTAAATACTAAATTACTTGTTGTAATCCTCATTTATTCTGTGTAAATGTCATTTTTTATTAAAAAAAATCAGTGGAGTTTGACTTTGAAACAAAAAGGCTTTTAAATGGCTTGAAATTAAAGCAATTGGCTACAAATTGTTTCCCTTATTTAATGGGTGCAGACATTATGTTGGAAAATTAAGGTTGCATTCGTTTATCTGGTTATTTTATGTTTTGTATTTAGGTAGTAAAAAGCACAATATGGAGGGTTTTTTCAGATAGTAAAAAGAGCTTAAATTCTACTTCAGAAAAATCAAGACATTTCCAGAAAATCCGGTTAAGGATGTTTTCCTTCAAGGGATCATCTGCAGTTCTCTAAACTGTAACCTGAAAAGGCGGATCAGCTGTTCTTAAGAAGGTAGCATTGTCACCAACCTAGTATGTAGAGCGCAATTAGCAGACATGAGGAAAGTAACTTGTTTAGCTTAAGCTAAGGTATCTATTTATAAAAGCAGCAGCACTTAAGTTATTGACTCAAACTATATGGAAAACTGTTTATTCACATTTGGAGTTGAAGTCCATTCGGTTAAAAACGTTTGAAGGGAAAAAATGCGATTATTTCTCAAAGGAAATGGTGAACAAAACATTCCTGTTTTCACTCCTTCTGACTTTCTGTTCATGTCCAACAGGATTTAACGGGGTTGGAATCAATGGACCAATGCCGCCGAACATTAGAGCAGCACAATTGGAACATAGAGGTAAAGTCGAGTGAACCGACATGTGATTAATATTCTAATTTATCCTTTCTATGCTGAAGAACCATTCTGATGGGTTTGCATGGATGTGTTGCAGGCTGCAGTGCAGGACAGACTTAATGAGCAGGAAGGAGTTCCTAGTGTGTTTAACCCTCCACCATCCAGACCTCTTCAGGTCAACACAGCAGACCATAGAGTATATAGTTACATCGTCTCCAGGCCTCAACCCAGGGTGCATCTTTTGGATCAAAAAATAAAGGAAAATGCTCATTTGTTTGTTTTAAGATGCAAAATTGTTAATCAGTGCTTCTTTTTCAGGGCTTACTAGGATGGGGTTACTATTTGATTATGCTACCATTCAGATTTACGTATTACACACTTCTGGACATATTCAGGTAATCTTAGTGTTTTTTTTTTAGCTTTCATAAATCTAAAAGGGAATGTTTACCGATGCGCTTTTCTTTGTTTGAAGGTTCGCGCTGCGATTCATCAGACCAGACCCTCGCGCCCGAGTGACGGACCCTGTAGGGGACGTCGTGTCCTTCATTCATAGCTTTGAGGAAAAGTACGGTCGGTCACACCCGGTGTTTTACCAGGGGACCTACAGCCAGGTGAGTCTGTATCTGTTCAAAACGAAACAGGAACGCTCATGAACGTAAGACGTGACATAAAATCTAATGCTTTGATGGTGAATGAATGAATAAGAAATTTATTACAGACAATTTTTTCACAAACAACAATAAATAACAATAAATGAATCAATAAAAAATACACATAAAAGACACTAGGTAACATCAGCCAAACTAACTAAATTCACCTGAACATAAATACTAGGGTGGAATGGTTTTACAAAATCCACGGTTCGGTTCGATGTATGTTGATTGTTACACAGAAATCCCATAAAAATTAATGAAATTAATGATAAAATCCAAAAAAATGAATGAATTGTAATTATTTTTAATGATCCGCGGAAACCCTGGATCATTTCCGCATGTTTTGCTGCTTTGAATTTAATCATCTGGCGCATGCTCGCTCCCCTCTGAGTTCCTTGGAGATGGTAGAGAGCATGCGCCAGATGATTAAATTCAAAGCAGCAAAACATGCGGAAATGATCCAGGGTTTCCGCGGATCATTAAAAATAATTACAATTCATTCATTTTTCGGGGAATTTTTTCATTAATTTCATT